CCTATTGCCTATATACAAATCAATTCGGAAAATTCGAAAATTTGAAAATTAAAAGAAAAATGTTATATTATATCGATACCCAGAGTATAATATTAATTTGAAAGTGATGGCATTCTTTGTATTATATTATTATAGTATTCGAATAACTGAAAGCCAAAGGATATAAAAAAGGGTTGTAATACAAGTAGAGCAACAACAAGCTCTATATCAAAAAGACTCTTCTAAAAGAAAAGATTTACTGCATATCATATTTCTATATTTGAAATAATAATCGATGATAGATATTGAATCTAACCGAGACTTCCGTAACCTTCGTATCCGCATCTAAAGCTGATATTCAACTCTTCGTAGATATTGCTGTCATAAAATCGTAATATAATCCTTCGCTATATCTCTAAACCTCTCTCCTTCCAATTCTTCCAATTCCATCTGCAACTCAATCTTAGCTCTACAGACTCTCAAGAAAGAGCTGGAGGTTCGTAGGATGCACCGCGTACAGGTGTTGAGTCTTCGCATCCCATATCTCCATCTTCATTTCCTATACATTTCTCAATCTACATTCCAAATCCTTTCCTCTCATACACAATCCGTATTTCTCTATCAAAAATCAACTCTATAGAACAAATCGAGAAAGACCCAGCTCTTTCACACCTCTTTCCTCTCTATATCCATCTGAAATTATAAAGTGTATTCTGTTAATCAATCTCGTTTACTCAGGTGGCTTTAAAGGAATAAAATTCTGTTCAGAGAATAGATAGTTATTTATATATATCCGACTTAATCTTTCCATCAAGAACTAGCCTTAAAATGACACAGTATCTCAGCATACCTCGATACTACTTTTAAGATTGAATAATAGATATGAATATAATCGAGATAGGAGATTCATATACCATTCTCTAAACTTCAAGGCTTAAGGCTCTAGAGAGTTATATATAGAGAGAGAGAGAGAGAGAGAGAGAAAGAGAGAGAGAGAGAGAGAGAGAGAGAGAGAGGGAGAGAGATAATAACACTCTACATCTTTCCTCTCTCTTTATCTTTCTTTCAGAAAATAACAATGTTTCGAAGCGTAGCGGAAAAAAACTTATACGTCGGATTTTACGAAATTTTTGTATAGGGTAACTTGATTATATTTTCTACACTGGAATCCAATTTGTATGTAGTTATGATTTGTATATAGATATTTATATGATATCTTTCATGTTCAATTATATAAAGAATTGAAAAAAATTATTATAAATAAAGAATAAGCTTTATTTTCAATCTTTTAATACCAAAAACTTAATAGATATCTAATTTGATAATATTAAAACTATTCAAAAATAATCCAGCAAAAGATACTCTTTTATTAGGTGCTTCGAAACACCAACGAGCTGCCTCGTCCCGAATCAAAGAAAAGAAAGACATATTCCGTGCTGATATACTTACACTTGTATCGATAACACATACATCTTCCCCCTATCTCATTTTTACATATCTAAAGCATGATACTACATCACATGTAGAAAGAAAACTAGCAAGTGTATATATCATCCCTTATCCACTCATCCCCTATAAACTCCCAAACTTCTCATCCACTCCACTCTACCTCTTAAACCCAGACTCATTTCCAATCATGTCCGCAAACACAAACTGAAGAGAAAAGTCCTCGAACACCTTCTATTTCCCCCTTTTTTCTCCCTTTTCGTCTCTCGCTTCCGCTGCAATATCATCCATCCTGTATACGTAGACATCTCATCAGAGATCCCTCTCATCCTCCTCTTTCTCCATTATCCAAGAATCCCAATTCTCACACATCATATATCATAGATCAGCACCATAGTCAACAAACATCTATAACTAGGTACCTGTCTATCGAAACAGGCGCTATAAACTATAACAACGCCTCGACGCTACAACATCCGATTAATTTTATAATCTCATCTCTTACTTCCTTAGCAAGATTCCCACATAACAAATTTCGAAGGAAACTTTTTCTTCGAAATACGACCCTTTCGCGATCGATTTAGATTATAGTTATTAAACCAAATTGATTGCAATTGCCCCTAAGTGATTCTGATTAGTAATTGTTGTGATACTGTTGTTGGCATTCCAAATACAAAACATATAACGTAACTTGACTAGAAGTGGGTCCATGTTATGATATAAGTCACAAAATCATATTTTTCTATTTGACCTGTCCTACATGCTACAGGGTAATCTATAACTATCATTGATTCAACTGAACTATTATTATCCTCTTCCTTTTCCATTTCTCCTTCTATCTGATCAATTTGATGTTTGGATAGTCTATCACGTTGTTGTTTTGGTAAGAATGTTTGTTCAGTCTTTTCGATAATTTTTAATACTTTTTTAGTATTAAATACAAATTCATTTTTTAACTTTATTCTCTTTTTACTTTTTTGTTTCTTTTGTATTTCAAGTAACTCTTTATATTCTTGAAGTTTTTTCGAAGAATAGTATTTTCAGTATTTAAGTTTTCAATCTAATGAGTTATTTGTTTTGTATATCTTTGTACTGGAGAAATAGGCAGATTATTAGTGGATAAAGCTGAATTGAATATCTTATTTGCTTATCACAGCTTAATATCATTTGGGGGAAAACTATTAAGCAAAGAGAGATCTAAATCTTTTAGATTTGCTAGTATATTTAGAATGAAAGGTAATAGTAAAAACAGAATTAGAAGATTATTTAGAACTTGATAAGAACTAAATAGATTCAAATCTATTTCTTTTTATCTGTTTTTGATATTTTAATAACTAAAACCTTTTTCTTTTATTTTTTGAAAAAGCTGTATCCAATCAGATCGTTGTATTCATTGTATTCCTATTCGAAAATATCGATCAATCTTTTGAGCATAATATTGTTTTATTAGTTTATACATTTCAATATCTAATAGCTAAAGTAGATATAAATAATGAGGTGATAGAATAAGAAAATCAATTTCTTTTTTAATATAGAAAGCAATCAAACTTCTTGTAATATAATTAGAATGACTATCTATAATCAATAATCGAAGCTGATCTCCTAATATTTTTCGAGATTCTGATTCAAAAACCTTATATATCTATTCAAAACTATAATTATTAGAAGTCTATTTACTATTGCTTGTTGAGAAATACCAGTTTGGAGGAGTGTTAGTTGAAATCCATATAATGTTGATATTCTGAGCCTTGAAAATAATTATAGAGAGTAAAGAGCCTTTATCTATATTCATATATTCCAATATAGTTATCTACTCTTGCCTTCCTACTATAACTTTTCAATTCGATTTGAAAATAGAATTTACGATTATATATATTGATTCTGTTTTCTCCAATTGTATATTCTATTTTATTTATATTATATATATTCTTGAGTTTATAATATCGTTTTTCGATTTATATTTGAAATATTGAAAACTACGCTGAAATTGTTTCAAATATAGTTTCTTTATACTTTGCAGATTCCAATTTATAAGAATAGGTTTTTTTAAATTTGGAATATCGATTTAAGAACTTATAGATTCATTATTAATCTATATAATTTGATTGAAAGGATGGAGGGATAGATGGTGATACGAAAATAATATATTGATTTAGAATTTCTTAAACTATTTCTTTCAATAATCCAGGAGTTGTAAAGTATTTAGTAATTGTTAATCATAAGATTTATTATATTAAAGTCTTCTTTTTCGCATTGAAAAGTTTTTGAAAGGATTTGTGAGATTGAGAGTGTGATTATCGTCCAGCCATTCGATTTATCAAGGTTGACTTCGGAATCTTAAAATAAATAACAGCACTTCGAATTAAAATAAATTCTTTATTTTTAGACTTTCTATAACCTTTTGAATATTATCTTCCAATTCACTATGATTTAATGACTTTCGATCTATTATATATTAAATAAACGCATAAAATAAAGAAATGAGAGGGTGATTTTGACCTATATCATGATATGACCCACTTCTAGTCAAGTTACATTAGTATTATTATTAGTATTAGTATTAAGATCTTCATCTCCATCTATTCATCTCCATCTATTCATCTCCATCTATCTACTCAGTACTTAATATATATTTTCAAAACTTCTACATTTCATCTTGAATTATATTAATAGAAGTAGATTACTATTAGATTACTATTAGATCAAGCCGTTTATAATAAGATATCATATATCATATATTATATAGCCAATACTTAATATCATATACCCTTCATCATCCACTATTCACTATCCACCTCAACCTCAAACCTAAAACCTCAACCCCAAGTACAAGTACTGGTACAAGTACTGATACAAGTATTAACACTTCGATATCCCTCCATCCCTCCCTCCTTCTACTCACTTACTTACTCACTCATTCATTTATCCACAAAACATTAAATAAATAAAAACACATATATGTATATATATATATTTATACATACACATCACATATACATCACATATCACACAAGCACAAACTCTTGCCAATAAGCAGATTCAATCTCAAATCTCAAATCTCAATTTCAATTTCAACAACCTCATCAACAACCTCATCATCATTATCAACAAAAAGCATACCTACATACATACATACTCTCCCTTCCCTCCCCCATCCCCCATTTCATTAATAACATATCATAATCGAAATTCACGCTAAAGCTAGGTAGATATGTATATATCTCGCGAGAGACAATCAGTTAAATCGAAAACAAAAGAACCTATGGTAAACTGTAGGTAGGTAGGTAGGTAGTAAACTAATTTGCTTTTCTCGAGTCATACATATGAAGACTCCTATCGATCCTGCGACTGAAACAGTGACAGTGAGAATACTGAAAAAAATCGCCAATGGATGGATGCTATGATGCTAAAAGTACAGAAGGTGTAGTATTTTGTGTGACGAGGAAGAAAAACTTCGCTTTGAAAATGAGTTTTGGAATTACATCACATCAGTTTGTGAGTAATGAGTACTAGGGAGATAAGTAAGGACCTGGACAAAGGATCGTGGTGATGATTTCGGTATGTTGATGAACTATCTACCAGGCGCTGACTTCGAAATTTTCCTTGGTGAAGGTTAGCAAGGTCTTGAGTGAAAAAGAAAGGAGTGCAGAATTACCTCTGGGAAGTATGTAGTAACAACAGTACGATCTGCGAATTTCCTACCCGCGAGGGCCTTGAGAGCCTTTCCTGCTGAGTCTGGTGTGTCAAACTTCACAAAGATCTTACCAACTCCAGTTGACTGTCTACTGCCACCAGTTGGTCTTGGGACTTTCATTTCCAGAACCTTGCCATATTTCTCGCATTCTTCCTTTACATCTTCGCAGATTTCTAAGGGATTGATTAGTAATTATTCGAATAGATAAATAGTAAAAACTAACCCTCGTAATCTTCATTATCAATGAGTTCTTCAGGAGTAACCATGTTGAGCAATTGTAATACTCTGCCATTTTCGAGATCCTGTGATGTGGTACCAGCAAGCATAGACATAGCATTGACGCTCATCTCCAAACCAGATACTTGGGTGTTACCAATGCTAGCTCTCTGAACTTTGAGATGCTTATCACCAAGTTCCATACCATTAAGACCCTCAACAGCAATATCCGTTGCAGCAGGATCCACATATTCACAGAAAGCGATTCCCTAAACCATGTTAGTATCTGGTTAAGAATATGTAATGGTAAACTTACTCGTGATTCATCTGTATTGCTATCTTTGACCAATACGAAAGCCTTCAACTCTCCAAAAGAAACTAACAGCTCTGTAACTTGCTCATCATTCAAATAGTGAGGAATATTAGTAACACTGATTTTGTTTTGAGTATCAGCTACAACATTAGAAATCACACCTGGCTCGAATGGTGTTTCATCAGTAACTGCTGGTACAATGTAATCTTTTGGACGACGAATGGAAAGACCTCGGGTATCAGCGGAGCCATTTCCTGTTTCCATATGGTCATTGCCATCCATGGTGATTCCATCCAATGCTAAAGCAACCGTAGCATCAGATTGTGTTTTGAATTCAAGTAAAGCAAATGAGCCATCTTTCGAAACTTGTGCTGAGATTAAAGGATCAGAACCCTCTATAACATTCAATCCATTAAGCTGAAGATTGAAGAAACTAACAATAGTCTCTTCCTTAGTATCAGCAGGAATGTTATGAACGAGGAGACGTTTTGATTGTCTGGAGTTTGAAGGTTTGAGAGCTGCATTAGTGACTTGTCCACTGGGTTGTGCCATGAAAGCTTGTAGCTTGCTTGGATCCATGGGTTGTTGTCGTGGTGCACCTGGAAGTGGGAACATGCCCGAAAGTTTAGCTTGCTCAGCAGTAACATTCTCATATCCTGGCGGTTTGATATCCCATTGTGTCAATCTCCTCTTGCGCTCCAAAACTGATACAACATCCGTCAAATCTGGTGTGGGCTCTCTCTTCTTTGGTGGAGGTGTTGGACTCTTGTCTCGCTTTGCGGCTCGTTGAGCTGCGAATCCTCCGTCGGCATCTCCACGATCTCCACGATCTCCACGATCTCTTCGGTCGCCTCGATCACCACCCCTTCTGCCACCTCCGCCACCACGTCTATCGTCGAATAAATCTCTGTTGTCTCTGCGCGGCGGTCTTTCATCATCGTCCCTTCTAGCATCTCGTCTTGCTGCTCCACGATCTCTATCCCACTCTCTCTCGCCACCACCACCTCTTCTTTCCCTGCCCGAATACCTATCTTCACGTTCCCGCTCTCTGTATTCGCGACTCGTTGAGTAAGAATCCGCACCCCGTGAATCTAATTCTCCATCGCGGCGAGAATTTCTGGAGCCTCGATGTCCTGGAGAGCGCGAGCGTCTTCGATCTCTATCACCACCACGTCGATCATCTCGGGACTTTATTTTCCACAAGTTAGATAAATTGACCTTGAAATAATTGATGAAACTTTCTTACATGATAATCTCTAGACGAACCATGTCGATCTGTTGATGCTTTCTTGTCAGTAGTAGCTCCATCTTCCCTTTTAGGTTTTGTCGTTGAAGGTGCCATGCCTCTTGATGAATAAGTATCGCCGTTCATATTGTTAATTGCGATCCAGAATATATTTTTCGGGAAAAAATGAAGACGTGCGATTGTGATTGTGGTTGATTGACAAGCTCAAACCCGAGGCGGAATTTTTGTAGAAGCTGTCGCGAATCTCATTCGAATTTCGCGCTAAGATTAGAAACGTTGTTCCTGTAAAGCGCGCCAAGGTGGATTTCACCCAACCCCCATGAAATCACAATCGCTTTCTCACAATGGGCAATTTGAGGATCTCAGAATGGAAGAAGCTTCCAGTGAATTTGGCAGAGCTTTGTATAGATACTACCTTACGTTGTGGGCAATCTTTTCGATGGAAGAAAGCTGTAGATGAAGATTATTGGTACGTGACTCTCTTTCTTGTACTGTAGTCGAAAGAAAGGGGGTTAATCTGGAATAGGTCTTGTACACTACATGGTCGTATAATATCTCTCAAACAAGACTCAACTCATCTTCACTATCGTACAATATTTCCTGAGATCAAAGTTCCTTCGAATCATCAGCCTTTAGTGAAGAAGGAAAAGCTTGAAGATGAGGATGACACAGAGTCTTTACTTCGGCATTACTTGAACCTTTCACCAAACTTGACTGAGTTGTATGAACAATGGTCTTTGGTCGATCCAAATTTCAAGAAAAGAGCACCTAAGTTTACAGGAGTTCGTATTCTCAAACAAGATGCTTGGGAGGCTTTGGTGGGTTTTATTTGCAGCAGCAACAACAATATTATAAGGATTTCTCAAATGGTATGTTTCTGATCTCAGGACTTCGATGATCTTATTAATCACTCTGATTTAGGTCAATAATTTGTGTTTACATTATGGCCCCCTAATAGGACATATTGATGATCAACCATTCCATGACTTCCCACAACCCGAAGCCTTAACTGGTTCTGGAGTAGAATCACATCTCCGCGTTCTAGGCTTTGGGTATCGAGCAAAGTACATTGCTCAAACAGCATCAATTGTGGCATCGAAGCCAAAAGGCTGGCTCGAAAATCTTCGCAATCCAGAGACTTTTGACAAGCCCTTTGAAGGGGAAATTCCAGCAGGAGGACGTCCTGGGTATAGAAAAGCACATGAAGAGCTTCTCGAGCTTCAAGGTGTTGGTCCCAAAGTAGCTGACTGCGTTTGCTTGATGGGCTTGGGGTGGGGAGAGGCGGTTCCTGTGGACACGCACGTTTGGCAAATTGCTCAAAGGGACTACAAGTTTGGAAAAGGAAAACATAAGAGTCTTACTAAAGCTACATACGATGCAATTGGTGATCACTTTAGAGGGTTGTGGGGTAAAGAGGCTGGCTGGGCGCACTCAGTCTTGTTCGCGGCGGATTTGAAAGCATTTTCTGATAAACTTGTCAGCAAGGTCGAAGTTAAAGTTGATGAGCTCGAGATCAAGCAGGAGAATGGGGATGTTCTGGAGAAGAAAGTAGCAGTCAAGCGAGAGTATCCACCAGAAGAGATGGATTTGAAAGAAGAAGAGAAAGTGGTGATTAAGCGCGAAGGTGTTACGGAGGAACTCGAAATCAAGGATGAGGTAAAAGTGTTTGAGCCATCGGCAAGAAGTGTCAGAGCGAAGAGGAGGAAATTATAAGCATTCGGAAGCTGTATAATTTGTACAATAAATGTAAACTATATCAGATTGGACACAGATACTTTTCATTAGATTAAGGAACTCTGCTATAGAAATTCAGCACACATAAACACAGTCTAATTATCAACTCGTTGTTTCAGAAGCTCTTGGACATTTCCAAAGTCGTCTTCTAGCTCACGATGGTCTTTCATCTGATATCTTTTTGCGTGTTTGTTTGTTTGTTTGAATATCAATGTCACTTTTTTTCCCCGAAGCTCGGATCATAAAATGACCCCTGTCTCAGCATTGAGCAGCAGCAACCTCCCCACTTCCACATCATTTCCAGACTGGTACTGCCCGCCGACACTATGGGATGGCTAGATTTTTCATCAAAATCCAAGAAGGAAGAAAAAAATGCCACTCGGTCCTCCTTCTCATGGGGCGATAATCTCAATGCGACGGACTGGCAGCATTACACGGATCCGCGAACCTTGATACCGACCATTTTGTTGACCACTACCATTTTGGTTTCCACGCGCTTCTATCGCTCCTATTTACGTCGCATTCCCGAAGCTACGTACATCCGACCCGGATTCTTCAGGAAGAGGAGTTTATTTGGCACGGTCACGAGAGTGGGCGATGCGGATAATTTTCACCTGTTCCACACGCCTGGTGGGAGACTGGCAGGCTGGGGATGGATGCCCGGCCGCAAGAAGTTACCCGAGGGAAAGGATTTGAAGAACAAGACGGTAGGATGCACACGCTGTAGTGTTGGCGTATCACCTTTTCCACGGGCTAATCCATCCACCGCAGATCCACGTTCGAATCGCCGGCGTCGACGCACCCGAAGGGGCGCATTTTGGGAAAACGGCGCAGCCCTTTTCCGGCGAAGCGCTGATCTGGCTGCGGGAGTATATTCAGAATCGCCGGGTGCGCGCGTACATCTATAACGCGACCAGTAATGATCGGGTGGTGGCTACAGTGTGGGTGCGGCGATTTCTCGTGCGCAAGGATGTGGGAAGGGAGATGTTGAGGGCGGGCATGGCTACGGTGTATGAGGCGAAGATGGGAGCGGAATTTGGAGACTTTGAGGCACAGTATCGGGCGATTGAAGAAGAGGCCAAGAGGAAGAAATTGGGTATGTGGTCGGGGAAGAAAAAGGATTACGAAAGCCCGAGAGATTACAAGACCCGCACGGCGAATGCAGCGAATATGATGAAATGAATGAGGGAGGGAGGGGAGGGGAGGAAGGAAAAAGCATGATGGATTATTATAGATACCCCGTATATTGTTTATTCATTGTTTATTGAGAAGATGAATGAATGCGTGAAATTTGAGTTCTGGTATTTCGATTTGAAGAATGAATGGTATGTTATTATTGTTATTGTTATTATCATTATTATTATTATTAATAGTAGAATGTTGATATAGATGTTGAGATGGATATTGTATTGTAGAATGATCTTTTAAAGGGGTAAAATGATTAATGGAATAAATGGTTGACGGAACAAAGGGAAAGGTTGAAATAAATACCTAGTAGCTACATGACATTTAATTTGAAAGGATGATTTATTGGGAAGGGATGAACCTGAACCATCATAAGTTTCTTCATGCGTAGGTCGTAGGTCGTATGTAGTAGGTAGGTGGGTATCATTCCAGAAGTATTCATCCTCAGGCAAGCCATGTTTGTTACAAGCATTGGAGACAGTTTTATATATCTATTGATGTTTGAGAAGTTGGTTCGTTGGGATCTATTTGGTTGCTGGGTAGGAAGAAAGGGATTCAGATTCCCGCATTCCATTCCTAAGAAGCGAGCCATAGCAACCTGTTACCTGACTAAGAAGAAAAAGGGAAGAATGTAAGATCGTACTACTGCACAGCATAACATAATGTGTAGGTAGGTACTAGCAGAAGTGCGGCATGCCTAGCACGTGCTTGTAACAAACATAAACATGATCAGATTTCCACGTGATGTTACGATCTTACCATGGAGTACGGACAGTATCGCACAGTACCGTAGATTCAAGCTGCCGCAATTAAATGTTTCTCTCACGAATTCAATGTTGCATATCGTGATAAATGGTGATGATTTATCATTCTATTCATAGTTCTTGGTATTTACGATGGGTGTATGTACTTGGTACCCAGGTACTCCATCTCATTATACGATATTAAGAATCAAATCAATCCAATAAATCAAAAGCAAAAGCTTAATCGAGTCGTATTTGCATCCCGTTTGGAAAAGTTCGAGAGATGGGATGTGCCTTGATGGTTTCATCATCGTCCGAAAATGTCAAATAATGAGGTACCTAGTAATAATAAGTGCTCTGCTCAGCATCAACGCCATTCATTCATTCATCCATCAGACTCTGTGCTCATTCATCCATCTCTCTCGTCTCCTCATCTTCTCATCTTCTCATCTGCCCACCATTCCCACCATTCCCAAAATCTCCTTCTACTCCTAATTTGTACCAACCATTAGAAAAAGTCACATCTTTCAAGTTCTATACTCCGTACACTTACACACATACACACTCACTCACACTCACACTCACACTCACACTCACACTCACACTCACACTCACACTCACACTCACACTCACACTCACACTCACACTCACACTCACACTCACACTCACACTCACTTTTTTCGTCACTCGTTTTTCTCATTCTGCAAATCAGAAACACGCTCTTTTCTTATCAGAAACCCTTCTTCTCGTGTGTCGTGTTTTTAATCAATCAATCGATCTCTTTGTTGTTCTTGATCTCGTCCTGTCACTACTGGCTGCCCAAACATTGTACAATACCGGTACGTGTCACCATTTCTGCCCCTGTTTATGCCCTCCCTGCCCTGCCCGTTTGCCCCAAAATGCAGTGCTGCGGTCGATTCACATTCACATATGCAAGAGAAAAGGAAAAAGATAGACCGAGAACCAGGGTCCAACATAACTAACTTCTCTCTCTTCTTCGTTTTTTGAAGCACAACAGAATCTCACGTATCTCACGTATCAAGTTCCATCACTTCATCGTCAACCATACACTCATTTTTCAACATTCACTTCACATACACATACACTCACACCCTCACGTATACACACAGTCGATCGTAACTGTATTCATCCATTACACTTTTCTTTTTAACGTTTTTAACCGTTCTCGTATCATCCACCCATCTCACCCACCAGATTCACCCACCATTGGATTCAAATCCGCCTTCAATCCGCCTTCAATTGGAACAACCAATCTCAATCCCGCTTGGCATCCTCTAGACAGCAATTCGGCCCCAAGACAACACTCCACCAAACTTGCAACTAGTTTCACAGACTGCGCAATCCAATCGAGCGATAATAATACCTACATATGCCACCAACCACATAACATCATTCAGAAAAAGAAAGAAACAAAAGTTTGATAGATCATCCGTCTCCCTTACAGACAGACGACTGATCTCTAAATTTTCACGCACAATCTTGAAGAGAAATTAATTCATCAACGACCCAAGGAGGATTATCCTAACAGTAACCGCCCGTTTATAATAAGTTTGAAATTGGTTCCTGGTTCCTGAACACCCGAGGCTCACCATTCACAAAGCTGGTACAAAAAGAAAGTGAATCCCATACTTAATCTCTCTCATTAGCCCAATACGCGAATCTAGTCCCGTCCAATCAAGTCGACTTACCTTTTCTGTCTGTGAGTGAGATTACTGTCTATCACTTTAGATTCCTTCGACTCCATTCCACCTTGAACACCAACACAACACAACACAACTCTACGCTCGTTATATGCTTCGATAGACGGAATATCCATTCTCTACTATATCCACGAACGAAGAATCTTCCATCGATTTATACACCATACTGGAGGACAATTAAATGGCTTAAGCGTTGCGCGTCAAGTCAATGCAATTATTCACGAAAGTGGAGGAGGAGAAGCCATCGAGCTTTTAATTCTCTCAATTTTTGCGACACGAATAATTACTTATTAATACTTTTCAGAGGGGAACAGCAATGAGGTTCTCATCATGGCTGAGTCCATCAGCTAGGAATTCGCCATCTATAATAGCCTTCTCTTCTCTATTGACCTTGACGCCGTTAACGCATGCGATCACTTTCCAACCGGCTCCTTCCGCCAACCTCGATCTTTCGAACTTAGGACGTGTAGGACTGGGTGGAGATTTTGATGGTATTTCCTTATATAAATACGCTGGTCAAAATGAAGATGGCTACAATACTACGACCCAATCCGTCATGGTACGCTTTCCAACCGGTGAATTCGATTCCTTGGCATCGGCCGACGCTTCAATCGCAGCCATGTGTCCGTACGTTAAATCGGATGGGACACTCGTGGGGGTAGTAATTGGAGGTAACTTTACGAGCTTAGGAAATGTGGAATCGCAAGGTATTGCATTATTCAATTCAAATACATCGGCAATCACTGCACTCCCTGGATTATCAGGGTCAGTTTCGGCACTCTTATGCGACGAGAAGACAAATGCAGTCTACATTGGGGGTTATTTCGATTCGACAAATTCTTCAAATGTAATCAAGTTGGTGGACAATACCTTGGTCGCCCTACCTTTCTCTGGATTTAACGGTCGGGTCAATTCGATCTCGAAGGCGTCGAACGGAAATATCATCTTTGGGGGAACGTTCACAGGACTTGGAAATTCTACTGCAACAATTACCAGCAAACCTAGTAATGCAACTGATCAGCAAATTGTCAATATTTCTGGCGCCAACATCACAAGCAGTGGCACAGCCACCACTACAGGCTTTGACGATCCAACAAACATTGTTTGCAAGACTAATGGCATTGATGGCTCTGGAAATACTTGGTTATTGAAAGATGATACTGCTGGGTGGTGGAAAGCTACGTTTGGTTTTGGCTTTCAGCCTACCAAGTTGAGATTATGGAATACCCACCAAGACGGACGGGGTACCAAAACGTGGAGATATACGGCTCAGCCAATCAATGGTATCATGAACTTTACTTACATCGATCCAGCTACAGGTGCTAACGCAACATGCACATCGGAATGCCCTTTGAGCAACAATGCTAGTATTCCATACCAGGACTTTCACTTTGTGAATTCAGTTGGCATGGATGCCTTTCAGATTGATGTCTCTGCTTGGTACGGCAGTGGAGGTGGCCTGAATGGCATTGAGTTGTTCCAGGATGATATTTTTTCCTATGCTATTAACGATTTCAATGAGCCTACCTGTGCTTCTTTATCAACTGCTTCAAACACAACATCGACCGGTCCTTGGACCATCAGTCCCTCATTTCAAAGTGATGCAGAGTACCTCACAGGAAAATTTACAGCAGATACAGCAAGCTCAGCTTCCGTGGTATTCTACCCTGATATCAGAGAGTCGGGCAACTATACAGTGAAAATGTACACCCCTGGATGTATTCAGGATAGTACATGTACCAGCAGAGGCTCTGTTGTTGTAAATGGAAGTGTGGCTAGTGGCGCTTCTAGTACTTCCGCAACCTTCGGCTCGCCCATTACCCTCTTCCAATCTAATGACTACGACAAGTATGATCAAGTATACTCTGGTTACATCGAAGCTGCTAGTGATACCTTCCGTCCTTCAATCACCCTTACTCCAAGTGGTCAGATCCCTGGAAATTCCGAGAATTTTACCATTGTAGCTCAACGAGTTGGATTCATCTTGAACAATGCAACTAGCACAGGATTAAATGGTCTTTTCGAATTCGATCCAAGCCAGAGTGTCATCAACACTTCCGATTTCCAGAATAATACGATCGATCAAGCTGGTATGAAACTCAATACCGGTGCTGAGGTCAACGTTGTTGTAACTTCTGGCGACACGACTTTCGTTGGTGGCAATTTCTCCGCCACAGGATACGAAAACGTATTCTCAATTTCAGACTCGGGTCCTAGCTCATTAGATTCCAGAGGATTAAACGGGAAGGTCCTTACTATGCTCCTTGAAGACTCAACCCTATATGTTGCAGGAAACTTCAGCGGTAATTCTGGCTCAACGACTACTGCAGGTTTGAACAATATCGCCGCTTATGATATCACGCAGAATAAATGGAGTGCACTAGGAGCCGGTGTCATGGAAAGGTACATCGGTGGTGCCAATATCATTAAATATCACCGCTAACACACCCGAAAATGTCATTACTTTGACTGGAGATTTTAACCAGCTCATTGCATTTGGAAGCAATTCTTCAGTTTCTGTTTCTGGTTTCGCCATTTGGGTACCGTCACACGACAATTGGTTACAAAACCTTAATATTGCGGCAATGTCTATTAACGGTCAACTCACCGCTGCGGTAAATGCTTCCGGCGACGCCATCTTTGCGGGTTCGCTCTCATCCTCGCAACTCGGCGCCAACGGAGTAGTTTCTCTCGCATCAGGACTAAGCCCATTCCCCGTCAAGATTCAAGCTACCCAAGCACAGTCTACATCAACCTTGTCGAAAAGAAATACTGCTAGTCAAAATGTAAGTGGTGTTGTAACTGGGCTCTTTTACGAGAATGGCTCGCGCAAGATTACCATTCTCGGTGGTCATTTCACCGCAACTTCTACCAATGGTACCGACGTTAATAACCTCGTCTTTATTGATGGCGCAAATGACAACACTGTCACTGGACTCGGATCTCAAATTGACGCGGATTCTACCTTCCGTGCACTGGCTATACAAAATGACATTTTGTATGCTGGGGGCTCTGTTACTGGGACTGTTAATGGAGGACAAATCAATGGGCTTATCTCATACAATCTTAAGACTTCAACGTTCTCATCACAAACACCAGCTCTCGGCGGAAATTCAGTTGCTGTCAATGACATCGCGGTGAGGAGGAAAACTGGTGATTTATATGTTGGTGGAAGTTTTACTCGAGCCGGATCATTAGATTGCCCAGGTGTTTGCCTATTTACAGCGTCTGCATCCCAATGGAATCGACCAGGAACAAATCTTGAAGGTACTGTCAATACTATGCTCTGGGCTAGTGATACCTCTCTTATTGTAGGCGGGTCATTATCAGTCGACGGCGCCAATGTATCCGTAGCGACTTACGATACCAAGGCTCAAACGTGGACCACCGCTACTGGCGCAGACAACATTCCAGGAACAGTAACATCTCTTGTCCCAGCCACTAGTGACATTTCAAAGTATTGGGTGGCTGGTACTGCAAAAAATGGCTCAGCTTTCGTTATGAAATATGACGGTACAAACTGGCTCTCGGTTGGGGATGTATTTGAAAGTGGTTCAGTCATTCGTGGTCTTCAAATGATGCCTCTTTCATCAAACCATGACAACTCTAATCTTGTTCCTTCCAATCAGGTTTTGATGCTTACAGGTGCCATGGTCTTACCAACCTTTGGTAATGTCTCGGCAGTTCTCTTCAATGGAACCACCTTTCAACCTTTTGCTCTCACAAGCAGTACCTCAAATACCGGAGGTAGTCTGTCACATATTTTCTCACAAGAGAATAACTTCTTCAAACCATCAGGCAAGTAATGATAGTGAAAAAATATTGAAACAAATTTCTAACACCATTTTAGGCGGTCACCTTGCAGTTGGCTTGGTCGTACTTATCGCTTTAGCTATCTCTCTCGCATTAATATTCCTTATAGTTGTTGCAGGTGTACTTGCAGAACGTATCAGAAGAAAACGTGAGGGTTACATGCCTGCACCAACAAATAGTTACGACCGAAATAATGGAATGTCAAGAATTCCTCCACAACAACTATTCAGTTCACTTGGTCAAGGTCGAACCGCAGCCGAAAAAGCACCCATGATTTGAGATGACAGTATTACGACGGCGTCAATGGGAGGGGAGGGACTTGGTTTAAAGGCGTTCTGGATAGGCTAATATGCCTTTCATTATTTTTCTTTCATTGTTCATTGTTTCAGCATACCCATTTGGAGTTTTACATATCAAAGTGATGCATTTATTGCTCCATGGAGCGATCCGCTTTGCTTTCTTAATTTTTCGGCAATTATGCAAATCCAGCGGCGTCACCAGTTTCTTTCCATTTTCGCATTACAGCCAGGCTTAATGTTTTTACACACCAAATTCTTCGGACATATTACAACACAACTCGAAATCTTTTTCTCATTACTCTTACTTTGTACAAAGATAAAAGAAAACAACACAATCTGCAGTCACCGACACAAAGGCTGCGAAAGATGGAATTAGCGTGGAATGGTTTTTATTTATTTAAGAATAGCTAGCGAGATTGTTGAAGCAGATCTTGATACCTTTCTAGGTGGTTACAAGTGCCTAATGTATGGATTTTTCATTTCGCATGTGTAGAAGCGAAAATGAGGAAGCATCATAGATAGGGCTTGATAGTAATGTTTTAAAGTTATACCTTTTTCCTTTCTTTTTTTTACATTGTTTTTTTTTGTGAGAAATGGAAGATGAAATGGAGGAATTGATTTCCCGGAAAAGAGAATCAGGGAGGAAGCGGTGAATTAAGGAGAGGAGAAGAGGAGAAATGAAAGAAAAGTTGATGAAGATAGGCAGTGAAGATAGTGAAGAAATAAAATCATATAATTATGAAATTTTCATGTATGAATAAATGTTGGTTGTGAATGGTGGTTGTGAATGGTGGTTTAGTCGTTGTCGATGGCGCATGTGCAATGATTATTTGGTACCTACCAGTACCTAGGTATGTATATGTAAAAGTTTGTGAAGCTTTGAGTTCTTTGGATTTTATCTAGGTACCTACTAGGTAGGTAGGTAGGTAGGTAGTTGTTGTAGATAGATTTGATGGGATGGTGGGATGATGGGATGGGATGGGATTGGGGTAGAAAGGGGGTGGAGGAAGAGAGGGATTGAGAGGAGAAAGGGAGAATTAAGTGGATTGTTAGATAGATATATAGGTATGTTGGATTAAGTTAATCTCTATTGATTATTTGACGGACTAATACTGATGCTGATGCTGATATCGATGTGAGGAAATATATTATATTATGGCTTGAATTGAAAAAGGAAGGATGATTTGATGGTGGAGGGTTCGGAGGTGATAGTGTGTGATGAGAGGAATTTGGGGAGGAGTCTGAGTCTGAGGCGAAATGGGAATCGGAATCGGAATCGGAATCGGAATAGGTGGATGTATTGTGTCTTGTGTGTAGTATGTGAAAGTATGATAAGGGAATGGAATGGGAATGAGGATTGGTGGTGTATTTTGGAAATCGATGGTTAGAGTGAAAGAGGGGGGAAAGAAGTAGTATATTATAGTGTGGTGCAGTGTATTTGAATCTATAAGTAGGATAAAGGGAGGACATAGGAGAATGGGAATAGGGAGTGGATGGTATGAGGTGGTGGTAGGTAATATGGATTGGTTGTTGGTGTGAAATAAGCGATACATCTACAGAGAGAGCGAGAGAGAACGAATGATCTAATTCAAAGAAAAAAAAAATCTCGCGCTTCGCGGTGGGTGAGAGAGTGCTCTGCGATATAAATTTCTCTCGTCAATACGCGACGAGTTGTCGCGTGCTAGAGTTTTTGTGTCTGTTTGTTTGTACCTGTGTGGTATTTTCGCGCTGGCGAATGGAAATCAGATTCTTTGTTTCTATCTCTGTTAATTTATGGGGGCGCGGGGTAATACTTTTTGCTTTATTTTAAGGGCGGAAGGAAGCTTGTATGGTATTCGTGGTAAGATTGTAATGATTGTTTTTACTCTAGATCTCTAGATTGTAGAAGATAGATGTGAGTTGATGGAAAATTTGCGGGTGGAAAGGGATGGGTTGTGATGTATGTGTGTGAACAAGGGAATTCACTTCAAAAGAATGACTTCAATACAATGGCTACTGTATCAAAGGTATTTAGGCGAATGTGAAGGAGACTAGCTCTTTCAGTAGTGCCTATATAAGGCCTACTACTTCCCCTTATTAGCTAGCTCTTTAGACAGAATACAATACAGACATTTAGGGGCTTACTAATAATAGTGGGAATCATGTCTCCCGTATTTCTGATTTCATTATTGAACCAATACTAATTAATGATATCACAAATTACTTAACTTATTTATTCGAAATACCTTCTCACTTTTACTTCTTTTATTTCCTATTATCAGTATTATGATATCCCGGGGAAGCATTAGTACTAGCTCTAAGTAAACTGGCAAGAAACCCAATACTGGCAAGAAACCTGTTCTATCCGATCAATTCACCAGTATAGGAGGATTTATCGACATAACAACTGATGATACCGATCCTCTGCAACAGGAGTTCAAGACTTCTCTCTACGAAGATATGACCAGTGCTTTTCTTTATCCTCCTGTTCTTTTCAATCCCTATATTCCTGATAAAGCAGTAGCTGAAAAAAAAAAAACTCAGAAAATTGCTAAGGATTTGAAATTCAAAGGAGAATCTCAAAACTATTCCTTTCCAAAAGATTTTAATAAAGCTAGATAGTTCTATAAAGGATATATATTCAAGATGGGAACAGAGTACCAGATCGATGGATACTTTCTTTTTCGAATAGCTGTATATTCGAATACAAGGATTACTGACGTATCTCTTCAGAATACAGTCATATTCGATTTCGAACTTATTTGACAAGCTCTACTCAGGAGTATTGATAAATTGATATTATATAACTTTTGCAAGGTCTTACAATGTTATAGAGTTTATATCAATATGAATGCAAATCTCGATAATGCTTTAATGGAAGCATTTCTTTGCAAAGAGTATCACAATTGGACTATGGATCAGCTTCTGGAATACCAGATTAATGAGGTACAACTATTTGTATCTACGAAATGAGCCTACCTTCCTGTCGGACTCGGTCTGAAACCACAAGTCGAACTCCCTGCCGATCTTCTTACCGAATCTTTGAACGGTAACCTAGCTGGTCACCTAACTTTACTAAATACCAGCAAAGCTGTTTCACCTGCTCCTCTCGAGACACATAGACCCTCTTCATTTTATAGCTCTGGGAATATACGAAATACTTTTGCAGGATCATCTGGTAATAATGATAATCCGGATAATGATGATAATTGGGATAATGGTCAAGATGGTAATAATGGTAGAAGCGGTGGTAATGGCAATAGAGGTGGTGGTAGAGGTGGTAGGGATAGGGATTATAATATTGATCCCAAAATAACTTTGCCAAATTCCGGCAAGTTATATCACCTCCTTTAGGAATAGCGATTACGTGTACAACGAATCCAGAGGAATCTCTCTTGGATTTATCCAAGAACGACTAGATGTCTATACCAACATCTTTCCCGCGAGTAGTCATACCTCAGATTCAAGCTTATATACAAGATTACTACCCCGAATGTTTTGCTACTGATCTTAAGAATCCTATTATGTATAAGAAATCCAGGAAGAAAGAGATTAATGATCGACATCATAGCACTACATCAATCCTACGAGCGAAGGGAAATCGTTGAAGTGATCTGGATTGATGGTCCGACTAATCCGGCCGATGCGATGACGAAAGGAAAGCCATGTCAAGCTCTTGCTGATCTGATCAATATGAATAAGATCGATATCAAGGCAATAAAGTGGGTGGAACGGGATTAAAGGAAGGGATTGGTTCTGCTGGTAAGAGGTCAGGGACTTTAGCCAGCAGATGGAGGATTTTTATGATTTTACGAATTTCTTTTCAGCCATTGTATTTGAAGCCATAAAAGAGAGTTCCGAGTGTGTGAACAAGGGAATTCACTTCAAAAGAATGACTTCAATACAATGGCTACTGTATCAAAGGTATTTAGGCGAATGCGAAGAAGACTAGCTCTTTCAGTAGTGCCTATATAAGGCCTACTACTTCCCCTCATTAGCTAGCTCTTTAGACAGAATACAATACAGACATTTAGGGGCCTACTAATGATAGTGGGAACCACGTCTCCCGTATTCCTGATCTCATTATTGAACCAACAGTATGGGATTGGAGGGGCTGTTGGAGGGGATGATATGAAGAGGATAAAGGGTTTTGTAGATATATATATATATATATATATATATGTATGTGTATATGTGTATATATATGTATGTATGTATATATATAATATAATATAATAAACCCTCTCTTTCGAAATAAGAAAAGGATCCCAAAGTATACTTCCTTCTTTCTTAGTATTTATAGGAATAAGAATAGAATCCACAGGCATCTCATAGCGCGTAGTTAAAATATCTCATTCTGAAATCTGTCTTTTGATATTGATATCAATATGAATTAGAAAAACTAATATTACTGTTTTGATCGGTATTAAAAGTGAGAAGAAATTACAGCTTTGAATGAGAATATATATACATAAACGTCGTCTTTGTCTTTGTTGATTATAGGTATCGCTTGTATATTTAAGGAGTTATGACTTGGAATGATGTTCTTGGGCTTTTGGGGTTGTTTGTTTGTTTGTTTGTTTGTTTGTTTGTAGTTTTGTGAAGTGGATTAAATTGGATAGCTATAGGTGTGCAGGAGTTTATGGAGATGAATTATGGGATTGATGGGATAGTATGCATACATCTTGGGAAAACTACTATGTATACATCCTCCGACTTCATTTTCGAATAGTGATAAGCAGCAAGTTGAGAAAGACAAGCAGAATCCATATTCAATACTTGAATCTTCACAGGATGATTTTTTACCACGGGTGTAACATTCGTGAAATCTGATATTGAATCCCGAAGGTTGACATCAAAGCTGCATAATGGCTGTGGAATTTCCGAACGCAGCTAGAATCTACATTGATATCAAATGTCGAATATCCGACATATCTCAGTGATATGGGCTATGATAGAGTGAGGATTCATCAGATATGATAGATAGAGTATCTTAATAGA